TTTTGCAGTTTTGCGTACGTGTCCAGGACCAGACCAAAATCGAATTTCATCCATAAAATATTCAAATTACGCTGCATAAACGTCGCATAAACATGTTTTTGGATGCCTCGAAAGCAACTCAAAGGCATAGTTGCTCACCTGGGCAGTACAGAGCGCCAAAGCCATTCGATATGCTGCGAGGGATGACGCTGCTTTTTCAGCAAGAGCCGCATACCAATTCTATGGCACCTCGACAAAAGCAGCGTTCAGACAATCAAAGCAATTCCTTTGCTTATATACTTATGTTCTTCATTCCTGCCAGTTAGTAGTTGATATTTCATACAAATTATATGTTTTATATACTAGAACACCCATACTAACTTTCTTTGATTGGTTTGTTCTAATTTCTTCTGTTTTGAACTCTTGTCATACAGTGGCTGCTTTTGTGTTTACCAATATCTGGAAATTAGTATTTCTTTAGAAAATGCATCAAAATAGAAAATAGAAATTTGTAAAATGCAAAAGCTTTCTGGAAATTGAGGAAAAAGTTTGTGAAAAAGATTTCAAATTCTGAACAGAGCTCGAAGGATATGTAGGGTCAGCAAGATACCTTTTGCCATTTCCGTGCAGCTAGCGTATAAATTTTTATGTTAAAATGCCACAGCTGAGGGCATGGGTGCGTTCGTGTGTGTGTGTGTGTGTGTGTGATCGCTTAATGTGCCCCGCGGCAGAAATTCAATTTGTACCATATCCGTAGGCAAGCTGCAGTGTTTACAAAAAATCCCAAAAACCGAAGGCTCCCTTCGCTACCGCTGTCTTTAATGCTCAAAAAGTGCAAATGCGTCCGCCAATAAAAAAAAGAGTGTAGAAAGTGCCAACAGCGGGGTAGAGGGCAGGGGGAGCATGGAACGGCCCCAGGCCCCTTTGACCGGCGGAAATAAAAAGTGGCCACTACAGGAGGATGCAAACGACACAAGGCACGAGGTGAACACATTTCGGGCCATTTGTTTCCTGGCCGGTGCCTTTGATGGCAACGGCGTGACTTTTTTCTCCTCGGTGTTTTACAAACTCTGGTGCCCGAGCGATTGATTGAAAATTGATTTCATTATGAGCATTTGACGCTTTTTTATGCGCCCAACGACGCTTTGGCCTTTGGTGTTAACTCACACCTGTAACACACACACACACACACACGACACGAGAAGGCAAACATACTCCCAGATAGCTGTACTCGTATGTGTACTCGTATGAGTTTGTGGACAACATGTAATTGCTTTTTGCCACATTGTTGCTTTGTGAAGCCTGTTGGATTTTTGGTGAGCGCTTCCCTCTCTCTCTCTCTCTCTCTCTCTCTCTCTCTCTCTGTGGGTGTGTGTTTGTGTGGCAAATTAGTGGAGCAGTATTCCCTTATTTATGCAAATTTATTTGCATATTCTTGCGTACAGCTCTTCCCGCCATTTCAACCATCAGCCCTCTGTGGAGATATTTTTTTAAAATCAACAGCCAACCGCACTCGACATTATACAGAAGCAACAACAATAACATCAACATCAACAACAACAAAAACAAAAACAACAAATTAAGCCGCTTATGGCATGGCGTTCGTACCTTTTGTTTTAAATTCGCTGCCCAATGCTGCGTTATTTCCGCTTCCGCTGCCAAGTCCCAAACTCAGGCGCCCAACACCACCCCGACCCTCTGACCGACTCACTCAGCCAGCCAAGCAACTGCCCGAAATATTACTCTGTTGCCATTTCACTTAAGGCTGCCCAAGTGCACTTGTGCTCGCCACAAATGGCTGTTGTTGGTTCAGGCCTCCTTACCACCCCTTCCCCTAATGTCCCTTCTGGCGCGAGTGGCCCTCCTGCCGCCTCTGACCCACCACCACCACCAGCTCACTTCGTATTTAGCATAAAAGGTGTGCGCGTTGCTCCTGTTGTAATTTTGGCATTGTTGATATTTCGCATCAAATTTCTACGACTTGATGTTGAGTGGTAAGTGAAAGAAAGCGCTCGAAAGTAAAACGTAGAAAAGAAACCCAAGCGGAAGCTGCGACATTTTTTAGGTGTCGGTGTCGGAGTCGGAGTCGGCGTCGGTGTCGTGATGGGTTCGGGTTTACGGTCCCCACAATTTGCATAATGCTCGGCGGCGGCTGGACCACAAACTTCTTGCACTTGCACCGCCACTATGCAAATGAGTACAAATTGAATGTGGCAGGCTCCATCCCCCCACTACTAAGTAGAATGCAATGCTGATGACTTAGCCTTTGTTTCCTAAAGTACACGAAACATGTCAAATTTTAACTTTCACAAATCAAGATTGATGTACGACTCCAAGCCTAATCTAATTACCGGCATGTTGTATGGCTCTACAACAACATTTTTCCGCCTTCTTCATAAAATCGCCATATGCAATCTGTTTTAAAAAATTCTTTTTACATGAAATGTACAAGGCTTGCGGAAAGTGCAAAATGTAACAGGCACAAGGAGGCGTGGCAGCATGACAAGACGAGTCGAGCTAGCCCTGTTTGTCAGTCTGTCCGTCCGTATGAACCCCTATAAGAGAAAGATCTGCAACATTTTGCCATATTCGAGTTTATAATCCTTTTTGGTACATCTGCTCACTTCCCTCCTCTAGGAGATTTTCGGAAACGCCGTTCGTATAATCATGTATGATGGAGACTATAGGAAAATTTCGGTCCAAGATGCCTTATATGATGTGACGCGCTAAAATTTCGCACTTTATCACACATGAAATTATCACATATTATTACCTAATGTTATTGCACATATTGTTGCTATCTTAACTTAATAAGTAACGACAAGCATGCTGGCATCGCCACCCCCGCGACGTAGGGATATAAGAAAAGGAAGAAACGGTCACACGGCGGAGGTTAGAAGCGAACGAGAGAAACATAGCTCGTTCTCTTCTCCGGCGACCACCCAAGCAAGCAGACGTGCGACTCGACCAGTACCAGCAGTGGAGTATAGGACATAACCTCGATCAACCTAGAAACAAATCCAAGTTAGTTCTGGTAGTCCGGCAATCGTCGTGGTGCAGCGTAGGGCCAAGAGCATAGATATTTTAAATACAAGACATTGTGAAGAATATTTCAGTGCGCATTTAATTATTGTTCTCTAAACAATCTTCCGGCGCTATGAGCGCAACTCATATATACCAGGCTTGATTCGATATATATGTAAGATGTGACTGCAACAGCAAGCGCCGGCAATATAATGCCAAACGAGCCTTCTTCATTCCCCACATCCTCCAGCGCCAACGGCTACAGTGGACACAAGACACATTCGATATAAGGATTGCATGGGCCGCGATATATGCAATGGTCCACTCGAACAACTGAGTCTTGGCAGTTATATCTGCAGTGCACGAGCCGACCGATATAACGCCAAGACACAGGGCATGCGGCGACTGATACCCTACAGTAGGCATCGAGACCTTCTTGTCACATGGTTCCGTCACAAACTTACAAATTTTCTTGTAAGGAACCCTGGACGGCTGAGTTATACCTCGGCTGGAAAAATACCTTCTTAACAATGAATACGGAGTAAATCTGTCAACATTGTTTTACTTTTGTGGAATTTGCTTATTTTTTATTTTGTTTATATAAAGATTCTACACATATGTATGTACAGAGTATTTCAGAGTGAGGACATCCGACTTTATTCTCCACTTGCTTGACTCTAGCTTTCATCAATCATGAATAACAACTGCTCATGATTATAATAAAGCTTTGTAGGGGGGTAAATACGAAAAATCGAGTCACAACATGCAGAAGGAATCATCTCCGACCCCATAAGGTATATATATTCTGAATCAGCATGACGAGAGAAATCGATCTAGACATGTCCGTCCGTCCGTCTGTCTGGATGAACGCAAGGATCTCGGAAACTATAAAAGCTGGAATAGCCAAATTTGGCATCCATATTCTCCTAGGTCCGGGAAAGGACGAGTTTATTTTATTCTTTCGAATTTTCCCGCCTCCCCCGCTCCTGAATTTCGTCAATACCGTCCACATTTAAAAAGCTACATTTACCAAACTATGCACACATAATATATACAAGTAATATAATTATCTACTTTTGTTTCAAATTTCATCAAAATCTGTCAATTCTAAGAAAAGTTATTAGCGAAACAATTTCACAAGCTGCAGCATCAAGTACGCTCTTCTTTTCCTTTTGCTTCTGCTAGAGGCGCATGTACCTCAGTGTCGGGAGCTTACCTGGGTACAGGGTATTATACTTTCGGACTTGCTCGACTGTAGCGTTCTATCTTGTCTAATTTTCTTTTCTTGTGGAGAGTACAGGGTATTTAAGAATCGAGCCTGCTCGACCTTAGCATCCTTTCTTGTTTCTCATTAAATTAGTGACAGTAATTTTATTATACCCTGTACCCGTAGGGTAAAAAGGGTATATTAGGTTTGTGCAAAGTATGTAACATGCAGAAGGAAGCATCTCCGACCCAATAAAGTATATATATTCTGAATCAGCATGACGAGAGAAATCGATCTAGACATGTCCGTCCGTCTGTCCGTCTGGATGAACGCAAGGATCTCAGAAACTATAAAAGCTAGAAGAGCCAAAGTTGGTATCCAGATTCTTCTGAGTCCGAGAAAGGACAAGTTTATTTATTTTTTAATTTCCCCCCCCCCTTCCCCGCTACAGAATTTCGTCAATAGCGTCCACATTTCAAATGCTACCTAAACCAAACCTTGCACACATTATTTATATATAATTGTCTACTGTTGTTTAAAATGTTATTCAATTCGGTCAATTCTAAAGGAGTTATTAGCGAAACAAATTCTCGCCAGTGCAACCCCCACACACTGCAGCAACAAGTTCGCTCTTCTTCTTCCTCTTTTTGCTGCTGCTTTGGGCGCATATAACTCAGTGAGGGAAGTTTACCTGGATGCAGGGTATTATACTGTCGGGCTTGCTCGACTGTAGCGTTCTCTCTTGTTTATAGTAGGCTTTCCGCATACGACTATATAAGAAGTTACGTAGATCGTAATTGAGTCTCCACACAAAATGCATTCGAAAAAGTTGAGTAAAAAATCAAAAGTAGCACCCAAAGAGCCGAATTGCGACGACACTGATGGCAAGTACAATAGCTTCGAGCATATGCAGTGTATTCAGGACACGTTCTGGCGCAACGACATGAAAGAACCGCCGTGCTTGCACACGGGCCTGGAAATGGTGAGGAATAGCGGCTTCAACAAGGGCCTGGCTTATACAACCCGGGAACGCCAGCTGCTGAGCATACATGGCTTACTGCCGGTGGCCGTGCGTAGCATTAAAGAGCAAATGGAAGTATGCATGGAAATTTTTAATTCACTGACCACCCCCATAGAGAGGTATCTCTATATGAGCGACCTGGAAAGAATAAATCGTCATCTATTCTATCGCCTGATGCTCACTTCGCTGGATAAATTCATCAAGGAGCTGGATAACTCATCTGCATCGTTCCAGATAAACAACTACAGTCTGCTGTTCATAAACCCCAACGGGCTTTTTATAACCATTAAAGATCGAGGTCACATTTTCGAAGTGCTCTCGAACTGGCCGCATCGTAACATCCGATGTCTTCTTGTCACTGATGGCGCCGAGGTGCTCGGCTTGGGCGACTGTGGTGCTCATGGCATGGCTTTGGCCATAACAAAGCGTTGCCAGCACACATTGTTTGGTGGATTGCATCCAGACTGCTGTCTGCCCATCATGCTGGACGTTGGCACGGACAACGAAGTCCTGCTCAATGATCCGTTGTACATTGGTCTGCGTCAGCATCGCGTGACGGGCAAGGAATATGATGATTTCTTTGACGAGTTTATAGTGGCCGTCCATCGACTTTACGGACCGCGTGCGATCATTCAGTGCAAGGATTTTGGCACAAATAATGCCGTCGCCCTCTTGGAACGCTACCGCAATCGCCAGTGCTTCATCAATGCGGATATACAGTGCTTGGCCGCCTGTGGGTTGGCCGGCATAATGGGTGCCAAGCCCTTGACCCATAAGACGCTTGAGCAGCACGTGTTACTTTTCGTTGGGGACAACTACTTCAACATTGGAATGGCGCGTCTTTGTATGCTTTACTTTAAACGGGAGGGCTTGGATGAGGCTGTAGCCAACAATCTTATCTGGTTTTGTGATGAGCATGGGTTGGTGGTCAAAAATCGGAAAAATCCAGTCCCCAATGCTCTTCAAAATTTCGCGAAGCGGCACCGACCAGTTGAGCACTTGGCAGAGATTATTGAGATAGTCAAGCCTACCGTCCTTGTGGGCTGCTCCGGACAACCCAATTCGTTCACGGCAGATGTGCTTAATGCAATGGAAAAAAGCGCAGAGAGTCCAATTATATTAGCCATGACACGGCCCGCGGAGCACGCAGAGTGCAGTGCCGAAGATGCTTTCGTGCGCACAAAGGGTCGCTGCATATTCATTTCTGGCTCTCAGATACCATCCGTAAAATATGCGAACAAACGGTACCAGCCCGGATGCTGCAGCAGCGTCCTCATGCTATCCGGCATCATCTTGGGCATCGTCCTCTCTGGCATGACCACCGTTCCGGATGAGGCGTTCCTTGTGGCCGCCGAAAGGATATCGGAACTGGTGTGGCCGGAGGACTTAGAGATGCGAGATGTCTTTCCACCGCTTCGTAAAGTTATGTGCATTAATCTACAGGTGGCTATGGCTGTCTTCGACTACGCCTACCGACGTGGCCTGGCTACTTTCTTTCCGCAGCCCGAAAAGCCCCGTCAGTTTGTGGTGCAGTCTCTGTATAAAAACGAATACCGGGACTATGTGAACGAGGTCTATTGTATGTCTGACCGCTTTATTGGAACTGAGGAATCGCGAGCCCACTACAAATAGAACCCGAGTCCACTTCACTTTATGTTCTGTTATATAAAATAATTTAAATAAAATTCATCTTAAGGTACGTCCGACATCACACCCGTGAGCCTATACGGCACTGAAGTACGGACATTAAGAACATCAGATAAGGTGACGGTGGGGGGCTTCGAGGCAAAGATTCTGAGATGAATTTTCGCTAAACGTCGACGGTAATTTTCGAATACCGATAAACCATGAGCTGTATAATTTATACGGCTATATCAATATCTAGTCAATCGCATTTAAATGGATGACAGAAAAGGGTGACCGTGTCTGTGGTGGAACGACCAAGCTATGTAGGACTTTTGTAATCTTTGTGTTACCAATTGGCGACCGCAACCACAAGACAGACAACGCTGGCGAGGACTTCCCAAAACCCGGTTGTAATTGCCACAAAGAACGAGTAAAAGAAATAACAGCGACATCAAAAATCTGCGCAATTATTTTGTATCTTGTCAGTATTGGTAAAGAGGTGTTGTCCTGGGACTATAAATACGTTCACCGGGGCTGCACTGCGTGCGGCTTAGAGTTACAGTGTTGTCAGGTTCCTTTGAATTACTCATGAAAATTGCATATCGTTGCAGCTGCAGATGTTTGTCCTCACTAGGAATTGCCGCCCATTTAGGGCGCCAAATGATATGCCTAGGCCCTCAACTGCAGCCAGTTGAAATATACTTACATACATACGCATATACATATATCGTATATGGCCAAAGTCGAAGGCAACCCATAATTTTGTGCAGACGCCATATTGATTTCGAGCCACACAAAAAAGTCGGACAGAGAAATGGGAATGAAGTCGCTGGCAAGAGAGCAAACCGTTAATTCAGCAACTGGCAGCCAACGGCAATTAACTGCATGCAATTTTCATGTGTCAACTGGTGTGCTGTATGTGTGTGTGTGTTTGCGTTTGTGTGTGTTTTGTGGCCTGGTGCGGGTTTGAAAACTATTAAAAACAACAATACCAATCGCAATTGTATAATAAATTGTAACAACCACCGTAAAATTGCACGAAACAAAGCCGCAACAAAGGCAGCCAAATGGAATTGCATGCAGGTCCTGCCTCTGCTTCTGCTTCTGCTCCTGCTCCAGCTCCACCTCCTGTTTCTCCCGCTTGCCACTGCTTCTGGCTCACTTGTTGTTGTTGTTATTGTTGCGATGCAGGAGTGTGTGTTCCATGCCTGCCATTGACAGTTGCGCTGTACGTGTATGTGAGAGTGTGTGTACGTGTATGAGTTCCATTTCATTTATCGATACAAAAATGAAATACTATACTGCATATATGTACATACATATGCATGCATGTATATATGTATGTATGCATGTACATACATATATTGCGAGCATTGAAGCAAAGCAGCCCCCACACTCTTTTGCGCGTCACTGCACTTCATTTTCCAAGGCGAAGAGTATGTCGACTTTGTCAGTTAGAATTATTGAGGTAACACCTTAACTTATTTACTAGTCTCATGGAAAAACTCTTCAGGCGAAACTGAGGCTTTCATAGACAAAACAGTGTTGTGGCTTGTCTCAATCCAGAAATTAATAGTTAACCTTTAGTGTTCAATCATTCTTATAGCTGCACTGTTTGGACCTTATTTTATTCAGAATTCACACACGCCCCAACCTTCATGATAGAAACTAGATAATTAATTGTCAAAGGTATCATAAAATGTAATAATTGTCCTACCTAGGACACATCTTAAATAAAGATGTAAGAGTAAACAACAATTTTATTTAATAACTACGACAAAACAACTGTATATCATCGTTATTTCATTTAGTAGTGCATAAGACTATTTCAGGTTGGAAGCGTGTTTTATGTTCGCCCTTTTTTTTAGACCACTATAAAAATTGACTTTGACCATCGCCTGTGTACCTTCCATTGAACCTTCTTCCGCTTCTGTTTCAGGCTCATTTTAATTGAAAAACCGGCAGTCTCTAGCTGTCGGCGGCATGTGGGGTTGCGGTTCGAATAATTGTTATTTTTCCAAAAGGCGTGCAGTATTGAAAAATAAAGCATGCATCAGGTCTGGAAATAAAGTTGAACCGATTTTAAAATGCGTGACAGACCTCACAAAATTGACGGATGAGTTTTCAAAAATTACGGAATTATTTGACGTGCATATCGAAGTTTGATTAAAGATTAATGGCAAACTGATTTACATTATTATTTAAGATGTATAAGGTGTTCATTTACGTTTAGTATTCGCAACTATTATGAAAGTTAGTTCTAAATATCCCGAAGTTACATTAGCAATCAATTTGTAAGCGCCGTATTATGATTAATGTAGTTATAAATGGAAAATGGTATGGAGAATTGAATTGTGCAATAACTTCTCAGCTTATCAGAATTGGCTGTGTTGCCCGCAATCATTTGTTATATTAGGACCCACACAAAACTGGAATTTTCAAGTGCTTTCTGCTGCAGAAGGCTCTGGCAAATATTATTAATAAGTATTAATATAACTTTGCAAACTCGTTAGACAAGCTCAGTTGCACCTCAAGTTGTTGCACCCCAAACTGCTACAGCAACTGCTGCTAATTAATTTTCCCTAAGTAGCTCAATGCTTTAGTTTGCCAACTAGTTGAGCCCCAACAGCAGACTAGCGAAAAAAATGAAGCCACGAGTACATAAACTCGGGCGTTTAAATGCAGTTGGACAACTTTTCGCGTTAGCACAACACGCTCTAAAAATAAAAGTATACACAGATTAAAATACCCAGAACTGGCGGAGCTGCAACAACAAGTGCAGGTGTATATAAATTTCCATTTAACTTGAAAATGGCGCGAATTATGGGCCAGCAACAATGTGGCCAACAAAGCGATGTAAACAAGGAAACATAATAAGGAAAGGCGGTACCAAGTGTTGCACGCTGACGAGGTGGCAACCCTTAAGCCCACTTCCCCTGCCCAAGAATGCCTGTAGTCATAGTTATATACTCACACATATACATATACATAGAAGTGTGCTTATATGCCAGGCACACGTCGCACGTCTGGCCACCAGCTGGAAGTGTTGAATATTTCTTACACTTAAGCCGGTAAAACAATTTACAACTGATGCTGTGGCAAGCATGAAGACAACACCTGAAGGGGCAGGCAGTCGGCAGCAGGTCTGAACAGGAAAGGCGGTCTATGCACAAGCGCGTAAATAACGCTAGTTAGTCTAATGTGCTGTCGCTGTCGTAAAGCAATTTGATATTAGACGGGTGTTACCTCGTCCAAAACTGTGCCAGCAACTGAAGGTGAAGTAATAGCCAGGTAGAAGCTTTTCGCAGGTAGTTTATCAGCATTTGTTGGAATTTACAGAACTAACATTCCTAGAAGATGTCTGTCTACCAAGAGTAATGTATTAGACGCTCTTATTGAAAGCTCAGAAAAATCAATAGATTTAAATTTTATTTTTAGAAGCAGTTCATCGATGCGTTTTATCCAAAACCACCCATATTTTTATTTAAAAATATTAAATTTCTTCATTGCGCCTTTCTGTTTTAATGTGTCTTAGCCTCAGAAATTAGAAAAGTCTTCTAAAATCACATTACTTCTCTGCAAGCTACATATATGATGTATTGCCATTTTTCCACATCCTCGTCTCTGCAGCTTTTGCGGAAGTCGTTGAAAGTTTATACTTGTAGGTTCTACTATAATAACGAATACTTTGATGGGGGCATTGAATATTAATTAAAATGAATATGAATTAAAATTGTTTTTTTTACAATTTCCTTCAACTTTTTGATCACATTTTATGAGGTTAGAGACGCATCCTTCTACCTATTACAATTTGACAATTTAAAGCTGATGGAGACGCAATAGTTCCGTTAAGTAATTCGTTAAAGAATTAAGTAGTAGAATACAACAATATTAAATATTATTAGCAAAGCACAAGAACAATTGAGAGAATAGCACAAAATAAAGAGTGAACAATTAGAAAATACGTTAGACTAAGGAATATTTATTCTTCTTTATTTTAACTTAAATACATATAACTACTTCTATATCACACTTTAATCGTCTTGTTCATTAGGTTCGGGGCCCCAGGAGAGCGCCTCATATCCGATTGTCTTAAGGCTCTGTACATCGATTTTATGACTATTTAGAGTGCGGATTATGGCAGCCACTTTAGGCGATAGCTGCAAGGTCCAGAATTTAGATATACTTGTAGAATTCCGATAGTATCACACTCACCATTGTTTCCTCCACCAACGGCTTGAATTCTGCACTTCGCAAGGCCTTGTAAAACGAAGCAAATATGGGAGACTTCTTCAGTTTTGTTTTAATTAACTCCACAAAACTCTCTCGAGGCAAATGGGTAAGCAGTTCCTGCACAAAGCTAGTAAAGCTACCAAGCTTTGGTGGGTTCAGATGCTCCAGATTGTTATCATTTCTTGAGTCCAGGAGCACGATAAGAGTTTCAACATCGCTGATCCAGTCGTCGTAGCTGTGGAATTTGGTATTTCGCCTTTGCCGGCTCCTACTATCCCCATTCATATGCAAGAAATTGATGAGTTTAATTACTTCTGGCAATTGTTCAGCACTGTGCTGGAGTCGAGTGAACTCAGAACTTTTCAAAAAGATAACGGCTTTGCGAAAGCCTCCATCGATAAGCGTGTGCTTGGCCACCAACTCGTCAATGGTTGTCCGTGGTATTAGATTGCGAAAGTCGAGCAGTTCCCGCATAAGTTCTGGCGAATACCGCACATTTTCCAGAGGCAAAGCCGCATCCGCCTTACGTCTATACTGTCCGCTATGCAGATGAAGATGGTGTCTAGCCGCTACAAGGTTGGCAAATATCAAGCAAATGCCCAGCAAAACTAAATACTTCTGCATCTTCTAAACAGTTTGTGGAACGATCCGCGCTCACACACGCTCTATTATGTACTGAGCGAAAAAATGTATATCAGCTGAGCTGTACGGCGCAGATTGTACTTCTATATGTGCGAGTGACGTCACCATTTGCTTATTTCGATGTGTGTACATTCGAGTATTTATATGCTTTCAAACGGTTTTATGAGTCTTTGTTGATACTGAAATTTTTGTTTTCCTACGACGCTGTGCGCCGTAATCAGCAGTTCAGTAATCGCCTCTATTGCTGGAACTGCGTGACAAATGTATAATACTGCGCCCTCAATAGGAACACCAAAGCTGGCTGCATATGCATAACCACATATATTTGTTCATATATATAGTAAGATCGCGATTTGTTGCTTGCTTCAGCCATGACTTTTCTCCGCTATTGAGAAATCGGGGTCCAAAATATTGCATATTGCTACGATATAAAAAACAAATTGCTGCTAGATCCAAGATATTATTGTGTTTATTCACTAAATCGACAGCTGCATGATATAGTACTCTTAAATATTTTTAAATATAAATAAATTGTTCTATGAAAATTGTAGGTTTGTGCCTTAATTAATAAGAATTTTTTTCTTGTCACACTAGGAAATAATAATAAAGTAAATAAATAAAAGTATAACTTTCAGAAAGGCTGAGCTCACGATGCTGATTCTTTTTATACCCTTTTACAAAGTTTTGCTATTGGGCTTGTGGCATATCTTAGCTCATAAAGTAAATATACAATATTATTATTCAGTATGACGAGCCAAGGTACAATGACTTTCAGTGTCGAGCTCGCTTGATTTTGTAACACCCAAAGGGTTAAAGCATACATAGTACTAGAAGATCTAAATGCCACATTTATGTAATATGCATAAGGCGCCATAACAGCTCGAATCAATCCTGATATGTCAACTTATCTAATCCATACGCAGAGCACGTTGTAATTCTGTATGAAGTGCAAACCCCATGTAAAGCGTTATTATATCTTATAATTTATTTTACTGTCGGTGAAAAATTACTTTTCGATTATAATAAGCCTCTACTACACTATAGCAACAATCGGTGCAGTAATCAAGCCTAATACCAAACGATATTTTATTTCTTAGGATATGTATATTGAACATATTTGAAAATATGTGAGTTTTTAAATCATTATTAAAATCTATGCACTATATGATGATGCAAAGCAGCAACAAAAACAAAAGCTGCTAACAAATCATTCGGCAGACAATGCATTTATGGCTATAACATCAATTAAATGTATGTAGATACCAATTCTGGTTATTTAAAATCTCATTCTATATGAGATTCTTCCGTCCATACACAACATTCGCGTTTTTGTTGTTCCCTTTGGGAACAGGGAGAAATATTAAATATCAGAAATATGTTCATACATTCAAAAATGTTCGTTGGCTTTTATGTCCCCAGCACTCGTATAAATCGTATTTAATTCAATATAAAGGAATTGATTTTTGGCGTAATTGATCCTTATCTGTGCTTTAATGTTTGATATGATTTTAAATTTTAAATTGCACATTTCCCACGAACAATAGGTGTTGCTTTTGTTAACAATTATGGTACAATAACTAACTTATTATTTGCCCTCGCGCCCTGGCACCAAATCCATTCATTTATTTTTCGGTCGACTATATCGACGGATAAATCACATCTGCCATCTTTCCAATGTCAATCCTTTTGTGCACTATAGTACTCGTAAAACTGCCAATGTTGACTCGTAATGTTAATGCCAATTAAGGCCATCTCCATGCCACCACATACATATTGCTGCAAGTGCAACACAATTCTCAGCGCATTGCCTCCTGCCATTTTCTAATACATCCGAGCCAAACATGCTCTGCATTAAAAGTTCTAAAACAGCTGGCAGGCAAAGGCGTTTCCTTAAACACAGACCGAAACACATGCTGCACAATGAAAGGAAGTTCTCGTAGCACAACCTACTAGTACATACATATATATTCACAATTCACCCACCCATCAGCATCCCAAATACAAGCACACACTGGGATATATGTGCGTCCCTGTAAGTACATATACTTGTATACTTGTGCCTGTACTATATGTATGTATGTGTATGAGTGTGTAGCACACAAAGCAATGCCCTGCAGCTCCTGTAGCATTGGTGCAAATACTTTTGTACAAATTTTGAGCGCTTAATTAGAAGGAATAATGTTGCTAATTGCGCTTGGGCTCCTCTTCGAATCGGCACAATTGAAAACAAAGCAAAGCGGCCGACATCATCGCCATGTTGTTGTGAGAAACGGCAGCTTAATTTTAACAATTCAGTTGCCTAGTTGTCCTGAGGCTCGTGCCCATGCCCATTGCTTACCGTTAACCGTTCCATTGTTCGAGCCGTGTGAGGAGGTGTTGGAAAATTTCAAAATTCGACAGACGCTAAATGAAAGGGTTGGCAGGGCTGGCAGGGCTGTTGGGCTGTCGAGTGGCATCGGTTCCAAATAAAAGACTGAGAGAGGGTGTATTTTTAAAGAATCTTATCACATTTATTTACTGCATCTTTTTTGTTATTTTACAACTAGTTTTGTTTAGAGTTCGCATAAATTAATTTTTGCTTTTCAGAAATATTTTATGTAGCTCATTTCGCATTATGTTTTGCTTTGTTTCTGTTAGCTGCTTACAAATAATTAAGCTGCTTTTATTATTGTTTGTTTGCTTTTTTTTCTTCGTTAATGCTCGACAGAATAATTAGCGTGAATTTGTATCGAGATTGTTTTTTTTTTGTTTTTCTTTTTTTGAACAAGTTTCCTTAAAAAATGCCGTGACTATATGCATATATAACTTTTTACATGTATTCAGCGTATTTAGCTTTCAACTATTTGTATTAAGTATGTTCTTGTATTTAAATGTTACTCGATTACATTTATGCTCATCTTTCGTTTAAATTTTCAATTACTGGCATTTGCAAGTTGCGTTTAAATACGGCCTTTCTATTTCGGAATTTCCCCATCATCATGTGATTGTCATACAAAACATTTCACATAATCTTTGAATTATTTACAATAAAACCAAAATGAAAATTCTAAATTAGAGAGAAAATCATATTGTTTATATTAGAAGCTCAGTGGCAAATAGGCTGAAAAATATTCATTCATTTCATTTACAATTTCCGAAAATGTAGCTTGTTTGTTTGCGTGTGTTTGTGGGTGGGTGGTGTTGGAAAGGCAGTGGGTGGGGAATGGTGGAAGGAGGGGTGGAGTGTGAGGGAGAGGCTGGAACATTAACTGTCAAATGTTAAGAAAAACAGTTAGAAAAATATTTCTTTTATGTATTTTTGTGTTTACCGCACGCACAAACAAACAAACAAACAAACACACACAGACGTACAAATCGGTTATTTATTAATTTGTATGTACTCGTATGCTTTTGTGGTTTAAGGTTCGAGATGCGTTTAGTTTTTCCATTTTTCTATGTGGCATTTTAAATGTTATTATTGGTAATATCTTATGTAACTGTATAATGCTCGCATAAGCAAGAAGTTCATGTTAATGGCTCGCACATTAATATTTAATATTCAATGCCTTCAAGTGTTTTTAACTTTCCTGCTCTATTCTATTTAAAGACGAGCGACAAATGCAAATTGTACAGCTATATTTACGCATATTGTTTAATTTGTATGTTAAATTGAGAATAACATGCATGTACTTGTATCGTATTTCGAGTGTGGTTTTATTTAGCTAATCAATTATTTTGCCACACAAAACTTACTAAAATTACATACTCGTATGGCTATGTGTGTTTAAGACACAGTAACTATTCATATATGTAATACATACATATGTTTTATATTGCTTATCGTAAACATCAGCAAACGGCACAATATCTTTACAGAGGCGACATCATCATCATTTCATTTCATTTTTTTCTGGACTTTCAGTTCGCCTGCTCGTACATGCTCGTTTTTTTTTGCCATAAAAATTGTATTCAAATGAAAATAAATTGCAAGCCAAATGAGATAGAATAGGTAAGCTTTACTTTATTTATCATAACACATTAGTTATTTACAGAGTAATTAAAAGGTTGTTCATGTATCAAAAATCTAACTTAAGGTACAAATCAAAAGTAACATTACGATCCTTGCTAAAAACTAATCTAGTACTGTACAAATGCCTTAACTCTTAAGCTAGTCTAACTATATTTACCTTCCTTCGATTCGTATGTAAATGCCTTCAATGTAATATGTAATCAAGAAAATTTGAAATTTTGGTTCCATATCTTATAAATATACTCCAAACTCTTTATTTGTATACTGTTTTTTGTTTTTAAGTTAATCGTAGTTAGTTAGTACACACAATATCTACGGCTTATAGCTATACTTTAATATATGTATTTATTAAACAAATATTGCTAGTTAATATACAAATTCGTTTAAGATCTTTTCCCATGGCCAACCGACGAGACGGTGTATTTGTATTGGTACATTATTCAGATACACCTACTCCTTATATAGATTCAAGCGCTCACGCATCGACACAAAACTAAACCAAAAACCAAATCTAAATTCCAAACACAAACACGAACAAACATCGAGTGTGAAATACAAACGCAAAGTTTTCGGTTTTGTTTGTAAGTTTTGTTTTATGATGGTGGTGGTTGTGGTGGTGGTGGTGTTGATGTTTTTGTTGTTTAATTTTTGTGATTTTAATTGCTGTTGCTGGCACGATAGTTTCTTCGCTTGAATGGCTTTGAGCGATACGTCTTTTAGCCATCATTTTGCCAACACTTGATTAATTTAGGTGGTTCCTGTTTTGGATTTTAAAATACTCGTAGTCGTGCATTCTTTAGCATATATCTAGGCAGTTGCTAAAATATCGCATATTACATTCTGAAGAAATAGAGACTCTCAGTGAGTTGTGTTTAAAACCGTATTTTTTCCATTCTCATTATGGCAGGATCCTTTCGTTAGTAACTTTTCATGTTTACTTGTTTCTTTCACTTGCATTTGCATTTACACATACAAACGTATATATTGGTTAGTAATGCTAAGTTCATGCTGTTAAGTTGCTGAAATAATTTGATCTTTATACATTTAATATACATATACATACAATTGTTGCAGATTTCAAACTTGAACTCAAGTCCTTAGATAATTCTAAGCCAAACCAAAAGCATCCTAAGCATTAAACAATTTTTGTAAATGAAGCAAACACATTGAAAATATATGGAAATATTGTCTTTCAAAAGCTTAAAAATTTCAGTCTTTAGTAGTTGGTTGCTCGGCTCATGTCACTTTTCTGGGTGTTTACACATCTTAGTCGTTGCTCTTGTCTCTCTCTGTAAAGGGCAGGATATAAGACAAGCAGACATTTTTTATCAGATTGTTGTTATGTTTATGTTATCTATGTTAGCTATGAGAGTTGTGAGAAACCTTGCAAAACTTACATTTAAATAGACAATTTCATGACACCTTAGAAACAAGCACACAAAGTTAGGAGCAACACCAAAATGTACACTGATTGGTCGAACCGGGGTCCCTCACCCGCCGACAAGAACTCAGATCTGTACAAGAACTCTGAGTTTGTGTTTGAAGCATTTGAAAAATTGTTAAAGAGGGTTAAGGATATAAGCAAAGCAATTAGTTTAATTCCAAAGTAGCGAGAGTTAATTGCACATGGGAAATATGAAATATATTTAGCCATATACTTATGAATATATGCATGTATATACTTATGTGTGAATATTACTTACTTAGAGGTCAGACCACTGCGTCGTTGCTGTACACATCGTTAACATGTTTGCCATTTTTGGCAGCAACCGCTGGCGCATTTTTGTCCTTCAGGCCGCACTGCTGTAAACGAAACGAAACGCAAAGGATGATTTTGAAAATTAATTAATCTGAACTTAGACGCAAAGTACGAATTCTAATCACAATAATTGTTGAATTAAATATGCAACAAAAATCAACTAATTAAATCTGCGAGAAGTGGCGGAAAATCAAAAATGTAAATGAGCACGAACAACATCTGGCCTAACACCTGGCGCCGCAAACCCGCACGTGGCACGTTGAGCCACTCAACCACCCCACCACCCAACCATCCAATAGCAGGCAACGAGCGCTCGCAAATAAATTGAAAATTAGGCAAAGCAAAAGCGAATTACATGAAAAATTAATTAAAACAATTAACGAGATGTAATTAAAGCAGCAGCGCCAGCTGCCTCTTTAACTACACATATATTTCTGTGTGTGTATATGTGTATATATTTGTTTATATGTATATATATGTGTGTGTGTGTGTGTACGTTTGAGCACTTAAACTCGCATTTAATAGAATATTTTGGCACTCACCTCCTGCTTGGATTGCCAGAGCTTCATGGCCGTCTTATATTTTTCAAACTCATTGCACCAATGCGAGTAAATCTTTTGATAATCCTGTTTCTGAGAGGGCGGCGAACACCTGCGGAAGGATTTTAAATGAAAGCAACAACGAATTAATAGATACATATATCGACAAAATATTTCAGCGGAAATTAAAATTGCATCACCAAATCACGTAAATTTGTGCGGCAATCTAGGTCAAGCTAATGATGCCCAACGTTGGGACTTCCACAGAACTCTGTGCCAATTCTGATTAATCCTAATTATATACCAATAAAAATCTTAATGCAAGGCTACCAGCTTGTCGCTTCCATTTGTCCACATATGCTGTTTATAATTCATGGATACCAATGGCATTATGGAGTGTAAATTGGTCGAAATATAAACAATATGCTTATATTTATACTTGTATTATATTAAGTGGATACTCGCATATGATTTTTAATCGGCACCAAAAAGGAGGAGCTTATCAATTCGTCTGTATTTTTATTTATTGTTTGATATTAAAAAGCACAAGCATACTATAATTCTTAAAGATTGGCTCAGTTTTCATTTTAATTTAGTCTTTTAAATCCAAACTCTATCAAGAAACTTAATCATACATTTTTAGAGAATATTTGCAACTGAAAACTTTAAAGTGGTATGGAATATCAATGACAGAATACTCTTCTTAAGCAACCCTATTCTATATATTCTACACTAACTTATACTTGTATCTGCTTTTATTTTCAATATCGGAATCATTGACCACCATCTTTATCTTTATTTCATTAAACTGATTTGAATGATTCCGAAAATGCAATATTTGTAGCACAATTAAATAATAATACTAGAAAATCATTTATTAAATCCCACTAAGCTGAAACAATATTTTAGGCCAAGAAAAACTTAAGTCATTACTTTGCGATTTGACTTAAATATCTAGGATATGGACCGCATAATGATTAATTATTATGACAAGGTTAACTTGTTGCAACGACTTTTAAGCTATATTAATATTATCATATACATATCCATTCTGTTAGTTATCTTGTAAAAACATAAGTTACAGTATACTACAACCAATTTATAATATATATACCTTTTTTCTGGACGTATTGCCGTGCAATGCAGATTGAATTTTAGACCTAATCTTTGACTCACCTGTGCGCATCCACAGTGACGCCATAGCTGCAGAGAAGGGTGCCATCCAGGTAACTATCATAGCGACCGCCATCGCCCTCGTTGACGGCCAGCAGGACGAGTCCACCCTCATTGGTCTCAATGTATTTGGTTGGAGTGTAGCGCACTTCGTAACTGCCAATGTGGAGGAAGATGAAGAGATTTTTGTATACGTTTGGTTGTCGAAACGCGAGGAAAAGCAAAGCAAAACTGTCTCCTAACCGCATTGGAAACGCACAATAAAAATCAATATAAAGTGTGTGAAACTTTGGGGGCAAACTTGTGCGAAGCAGCAAAAACTTTTTCCATTACACCAAACTCCATAAGTCCCACTTTTCAGGGCAAAAGCAAAAGAAAAGGCAATACCATCGCCATCGCCATCGACATCCTCGTCGTCGTAGCCGTCGTCGTCGTCGTCGCTGCGCGCTCTTAAATAAGCGTAAACGCCAAAAAGCAGACTTCAACAGCATTTTAAAGTGTCAATTTACCGCGGCGTTGGCAACACGCTTTCCCATGCCCCTACATCCCCCCAACACCCAATCCATGCCCATGCCCATGCCCATGCTCATGCTCATGCCCGCAACCCTCGCAGCCGAATCGCTTTCAGTTCTGCACGCTGTCATTGCTAAGTGAGACGAAGCGAAGTTTCAGTTACACTTCCGATTTCATTTATTTGCTTTCAATTTTCATAGCTGTGCGCACTAATAAAATTCGTGCATGCTTTAAAAGGCTGCCAGCTGTGGTCTCCAAGGAGCCATGACGTTTAATGCATGCCTGCTAAAAAGAAGAAAGGCGCGCCCGTTAACAGGTCTGAGCGTTCGGCATTTGCATATCGAATTACCCCCCCACCACCACCCTTACTCAAATGAGTTTACATTCCCAATCTACTCCCTACTATCAATGTATGAGTATACTGTTTACTTTGCGGCGTGAATTTGCGCACTCACCGTCCTTTCTCCGTAGAGTGATGATACCAACGTGTCTGCTTTTTCCGCAAAACCTCGGGCATCTTCACAAAGCAGGATAGGTGCAAGGTCTGGCCATAGGATGAGGTCACGCGCTTGCGCAGCACACTCGTGTCGCATATGCCCGACGTCTCGTTGGCCACGTCTTGCAGCAGGCCCAGCTGGTAAGGTCGGCAGGCATTGACCTCCTTGTCCCAGCCACAATAGGGATCGGCAACGCATCGGAAACAGCTGTCATAGCGACGGGCACACATGGCCAAATCAATTTGTTTTACTTGATGATCGGTCGCCAGATAGAGGGATCCCGTCTTTTGACTCAGCGTCAGCTCCCGAATGGGCTCGTTTCGTGGTGAGGCCTCGAATATGTCTATGAGATTGGAATGCCGCTGGCCATAGCGCATGAACTGCACAATCTTGTAGATATGACCTGTACTGGTGGCGACGAAGTACACCAGAAACTCCTGATTTAGCTTGTCGATGCGTATTCTGGAAAGGAGGAGGAGGGAAAATAGAATAAAAATGAGCACAACTTGCTGCCACATTTGTACAAAGTTGTTCCAAACACGCGCATTCTTATTTGTATTCCTCCACGTATTCTCCTTTTTATTTCTCCTTTTGTGCAACAATTCCCAAATGCACGCGGCCTCCACTTGGGCCAAGTTTATGCTTGCTAAACAAAACGTTTAACTAAAAGCATATCCAGCGGCGCATTGTTCATAACTTCCGGCCAAGTTATTTTACAAGTCGTTATGGCAAGAGCAGACAGCACAAAATAAACTCGCGTACAACAGAAGCACAGCCAAAAGCCAAAAGGAGGCAGGCAAAGGGTCCAGACGCACACACACACATAGTAGCAAAAAAAAAATAAATGCCAGCCATAATATAAAGGCAGCAGGAATGTTTTGTGCAGTGTGTGCGTGTGTGTGAGTGTGCGAGTGTGTCTGTGTGCTAGTTTTACAAATGTCAAGCAGAAAAACCGCTGGGACACACACAAATGCACTCATCTGAACAGATCGCACACATTAGAGATGTGCGCTCTATCCAAAAGCGAGTCAATTTTTCAAGATTTATAAATAAAAAGCTCAAATATTGAATTGGAAAGTAAAAGGCATATATGACAACCTACATTAAAATGATTTTTGGCCTTGGAAGCCTTAAGCAAATAATAATAATTTTAAAAAGGAATCGGAATTCCAATAATTTTCAATGTCTGTGTCTGTGGCTGAGGGCACACCGTTTGAACAGTTGCTTGCTTCTGCGTTACAGACAAGTGCAGCTAGTTTAATAATTTTCGGCTTTTGAACAATTTGTTTAGCAACTCGCTCGAATCACACAGGCACAACTCTAATGCATATGGGTGGTTGCCAACAACTTTTTGGCTGATTCAGCAGCCGTTGCTGCAATTACCACTAAGCAGACTAATGAATACATTTGCCACTTACTTGTCCACGACGAGGCGTGTGAGGATGACGTCGCGCTTGTAGAAGACTGGATTGCCAAATTCATGATCGACCGCCTTGTCCATTAGCGGATGCTTCCGAATGAAGTTCAGCACGGAGTCCGGCAGAGTTGCGGTGTCGTTGTGGCAAGTGCCTGGCCGTGGGTCGGGCACCTTTGAGTTGAGCACCGGCAGCCAGGCGCTGTTCGAGGTGGCTTGCTCCTTGAATTTCCCTGTAAACACGAATATGAAAGCGGAAAGAAGAGAAGAAAGAGAATGAAGGAAGAGAGAGGAGAAAGAATGTTATTTGGCGCTTATACAGTGCAGCGCACATAAGTATGCTACATTAAATTTATATGTGTCAGCACTGTGGCCAGAACCGGCGGCAAGTGGCAAAAACAAACACGCAGACGTGCTGTTCGAACTACTAATTACTGAAAAAAACCGTGGCTTCGTTTTTGTTTGGCCGCTCGGCTTTAATGTGCTTAAAATGTTGCTGCATAATCATTTGTTTTCATAATTAATTGCTCCGGCTTACAAGAGATATTTTGTATACTTAGCAGCACTGTTGAAGAGCGTGCGTGTGTTTGATGGAGACTTGTGTATGTGAGCGACATGCCCGCAAACTTTTCATAATGAATTTTAAGTGTATGCCAGATTTTTTGCACTGCTATCGCCTGGAGCACTCCGTCTGCGCGCTTGTCTGATGGTCTGTCTGTCTCTCGGTCCGCCCGTCAGTCCTGGCACTGTTCCATATACTCGCATACACGCAAAAATACCCATTCTTGGTGTGGCGGTGTTAATGAACTTTTCAACAAAGTGCTATCGTCGTTGTCGTTGTCGTCTTCCTTGTGGCCACATCAGTTGAACAAAATATTCTGCATGGAAATGTTGGCGGATGCTTCTACTTGTTTTTGGCAGCCCCAGATAAATATGTCAGCATACACTTAAGAGTGTGCATGGTTGTATATACTATACATTTATAATGAAAGCTTTTTTAACATTCGCTGATGACACCACTGTCAGTAATTGTATCTGCACTTCGGACTGTTCAAGTGATTTCAAACTGTCACATCGGATGCACGTTTCATGAGTCACATTTGTCAATTGATAAAAACATGTTTTCGGCAAAATAAAGCCTATAATAACAATTCATTAAATTTTGAGGCTCCAGATGAGATTTCAATAAATTAACATCTGTCAACAAATCACAAATACAATGAATTTAAAATACAAAATATTTTGTTCGTAACTTTAAAATAGTGAGCTGTTTTAAGTAGTATTTATGAAAGGGGTCATCAAATTGAATCACAGTTAATTTTAACAAAAAGAAAATGAGGAGAAAAACTATTTAATTTGTTTCTTGAGCTATGGAGTCTCAAAACTGTGTAGAGCTATTCTGAAACTTATACCCTATTTTGCAAATATTAAAAATTTCGTTGCAGTTTCGTCGTGTCACACAAATTTTTGCTTATTTCATGTCATGTCACAACTGATTAAACTTGCGATTTAGCTGCGTACGCTCACAAATTGAATCAACGTGGGAATGGAATCAACGGCAACGGCACCGGAAAAGGAAATGAATGTTAGCTGCAAAATAATCTTGCCGACGCAATTCTGCCTTCCGTCGTTTCGTTCTAGCTGCTGTTGACAAGTTTTTGTGTATTACTATACACATACATACGCATACACACACACACACACACACACACACAATGCAATGTGTGCATTCATATTAATATAGAATGCATATAGTTGGGTTGCATTTCTATGCGCGTTTTACGGGCGCAGCCAGCGAGGCGTGTCGAGTGAATGAATGAGTGCATATGCATCTGATTTGGCAGCGCGCGTGTTGCATGTTGCACAATGTCACGCAGCAACACACAGGCGCCCACAAAGCTGCAAACATGTGACCAGATTAGAAAGGTGTTATAAGCACAAGCACGGCAGACACACACGGGACACTTTCTCGCACTGACTGACGGATTTTCTTTCCTGAAAAAGATTTCGGGCCACGGGTGCATTACAAATTGTATGCGTTTTAGTGGCAACCTCGACGAGGTTCTGATGTGGGCGCCCTGAAGCCTTCATGTGCATTTAAAGCACCAGTCACGCATATCTTTTTCATTTTTCCTCCCTCACCACAAACACAATGGCTGCACGTAAATTTGCATGCTTCTTAGGCTTATCATTATCTCAACTTCAGGACGAATTATATATAGCAAAGGCAATAAAATCGGAAAGATCGAAGAAATTTAAACTACATACTATACATACATATATTGTGGCCTTAGCATGGATAGGAATACCTCATCATTCATAGGAGTAGTACCGGACATTGCTAATTTATAGGATAAGAGGACAGACAAGTAGCTGTCAGAATAAGGAAAGGAGCTAGGTATCATTTCAGAAACTAATTATTAAATAATTTTGTCGGACGTGAAGGTCGCCCTACTTAGACAAGCAGACAACCCATGATTGCTGATGTTGTCTAATTCATAAGCTCTGGACAGAAACTTCTTGCTTGATCAGAATACGAAGAGCCAATATACTTTTCACATAAATTACAGCGTTTTGTTCTTTGTGTGAGAAGGCATTCAGTGAAAGGGGCGAACAATATTACACATAATATATGTTTTTATAACTTTTGGAGATTTTTATGCACTTCTCTTACAATTTCAACAACACACACTTAGTCCATTCTTACAACCTGCTTGCAAGAACAGACTTCCAATCAGAAATCTGATGATTTATTCAGAGTATCAAATTTTCTGTCGCTGACAATAGATAAGCAGTCCTTGGCCGTTTTTATGCCTGACTGATAATTAAATTGTATTTTTCAAAATTGATATTTAGTAATATTTTTGATTGATGAAGCGCCGAGATGCCGAGACGAAGGTACGTGCTGCATTTTTAATCAAAAGTGAAGAAAATGTTAATTCCAAGGACATTGTCTCCAAAGAATTCGCTTTACCGGACCAAACTGCAGTATTTTATTTTCGACGTTTTGAAGCGTTTGCTCCGTCGAATCGTCATATTTGCACGCAATATAGCGCAGAAGGAAGTTGGTGTTTGTTGCATGTGTTTGTTGCACTCCTAATAAACTTCCTCGTACTGTTAATATTGAAACACAGTTTTTGATAAATAAGAGTGTGATACAAAATACATTGTAATTCAACAATTACTTACAAAATACTTATGATATTGTTTTCTGTAAACCTAAAGATGTTTATTCCAATCCGCCAAGGCAGGATTTGTTCCCAGATTGGAAAAGGCTTACTGCACATATCGAACATATCCGTATTAATACTCTCGTGAGGAATTTTGGAAAATATTCATGCATTTAAAGACTGAGCAATCGCCCATGGGCCCCAGAGACTGCCAGCTTGCACATCAATTCAATACGCGCCATTTAACGCTAAAATACCAATGTGGCGCCCACGACAAGAACACACACACACACACATGCGCACACACCTGCGCTCAAACCCGTAATTTCTTCCGACACTGCAATAGGAAATGGGAAGCAGTGGAGGGAAAAAGTCAAACGCAGCCACATGCACGTACGTAAAAATGGCGCCGCTGAGAATTATTGCAAATGCAATAAATCTCACTCACACACACAGATACCGCCAGCAGCTGCTGCTGGTGCTGCCGCTTCACGTCTGCCAACCCCTTGCCCCACCTCCCCACACCCTCCTGTTGGACTCACTCACCGTCGAAGGCTGCATTGATGTCGCGTATATCGTAGCTGCAGACCGCGGAGCCAATCAGTCCATTGGTGTTGGTCGTGAATGTGGCGTAGAACTTGGAGTCGTCATTGGGCATCTTGTACACTGACTGAATCTCATTGAAGTAGAAGGGGAACTCGCTCGATATGCTGCAGTTCATCCGGGCCTTCAGGTAGGTGGCCCAGTTCTGGCTGATCATATACTTGCCCCCGCGATCGTTCTTGCACACGCGGGCCACTCGCGAATAGACCGCCTTGCCACAATTGATGTACTCCACAGCATGCTCACGAAAGAAGAAGTAGACGAAGTCGCCGATATCAAAGCTGCCCACGAAGTTGGGCTCTAAGCAAAAAGACGTTATGATAATAGATGGTTAGTCTCCTTCCTAGGCAGCCAATGCAAGATCTGTCTACTCACTGTCCAGCAGCTTGGAATCGTATTTGACGGTGCGCTTGAAATTGGCCTCCTTGCGACCATTTGTAAAGTTATATAGGTCCGATCTAAATATTACCGAATCGGCCTTGGTGAACTCTGCATTGGTGCCGGCATACTGGAAAGGAAAAATAATTCAGTCGTTCCACAAAACACAACAGAAGTTAATGAAAAAGCAACGGCACAATAACAGAAACTTGGGCTGGCTCTACCAAGCTTAGTTTCACTTTTGCTTTATTTAATAGTTTCTTGTAGATGGTTGATCTTAGCCTATTCCGGTTTTTTGAAATTTAACTAACTGTTTCCTCAAGCATTATCTATGTTTGCTGACGCCTCTTTTACTTATAATAACATTTTATCATTACTTTTTTAATCACCCAATAATAACTTTAAGTCAGTTGCTATATAAATAGAATTTGGGCATGCCCTTAGAATATTATTTTAAGACCACTCACAGAAATGTTTGAACAGCAATTATTTATCAACTGGCTGTAGAAAATTCTTTTATCGGACGCTTCAATCAGCATTTCTCTTAAATTAGATACAATTTAAATAGTTGTTGTTTCAAAAACTTGTTTATTTATTTGTTTATATTATTATTTATTTATCTGATAAATAATTGCAATAGTCGTGGATAGTGAATGGTGATACACACGAAAACAAACACACTTACACTTTTTAGAGAAGGGTATAAGAAAAGCTCCCTTCGTGAAAAAATAACTTGTCCTCTGAAAGTTTGGCAGCAATTCGTCTGCTTCTTGGAGTGGATAGGGACGAAGGAAGAATTAGCGCCAAATATTTGACAAATTTGATTTGCGCCGAACTGGCATTGCGCATACGCCTATTCGACCCACAGACTCACGCACATACTGGCACTGGCACACACGCACGCACACAATTACGCACGAAGTGCGCGGACGTGCGTCAGTGTGCGTGCTTGCCATCGACTACATATGTATGTATAGTAAGTGTGTGTGTGTGTGTTTGTGTGTGTAAGCTGCTTTAATTTAATTTCAGCTTTCAGCTGCTTTATTGCGACTCTTTTTAAATTTTCCTAGGAACTTTTCCTTTGGCCATTTGGCTTTTTTCTATAGCTTTAGCTTCCCCTTGCCCTCCTCGGCCCTCGTCGCAACTTTACTCTTGTAATTTTATTACAATTGACATTTTTCCTTGTTGCTGGTTGTTTTCTCTTCTCGTGCCGTTGCTTTTATTTTTCCTTCCGTCAATGGCGGCAATGCGACTTACCAGCGCGGGCAAGCCGAAGGGATTTCCGGTTTCCACATAGACGGCGGTTGAGTTGTCAGCGGGATCGTAGGGACACTTGCCAATGCCCAAACCGATGCCTGGCACGTACTGGGATCTGGGTAAATGTGTTAAGTTTGCCTAGGGGCGGAATGCGAAAACGTTCGAAATAAAATACAGAGAAGGAAGAGGAAAAAAGCACATTAGTTGACTTTAATTTTTGAGAATTTGCCTGAACTGTAGGCCGATTTGGCTTCAACTCGGCTGGCATTAACAATTAAGCCGAAGCAGTACTCTTGTCACCCCTTTCTAGTCTATCACCAGCCACATTTATTCAGCAGGTAGGGCTGTAAAAGTTTGCGACTTAACCCTTTAAAGTTTTGCACTTGAACTTGTGGTGGGGAGCCGAAGCAAAGGGGCGACAAGGCGACAAGTCTCTCGAGCTATATAGTCTGGCATAGTATTCATATATGTATACAGTTGAACCTTTTTTCCATCTACTTACATTTATTACAATGTCCTTCGGATTGTGCGCATTGGTGCCGCAGACGTAGAGCCGATGGCCGTTGAAGTTCATGGGCTGTATGACGCGTATGTGATTGCGGCATTCCACCTTCTTGGTGTGCGCCCATTTTTTTTTTTTTTGTGTAACAACAATAATAATATAATATTTAAACAGAAGAAATAAGGATGCATGTGTGGATTGAGGGGTAGAAAGTATATACAGGCGCTGCATGAGTTTCTGAATTTTTCAAAGTCCAAAATGTTTAGGGCAAGCAATTTTATTCTAAAATTTTCTTTGAATTTTGCAACATGCTTTGGAGCAATAATTATGCTAAGTCTGTGGATCTAGAAATACATACCTCACGCTTGCCCTTGGACACGCAGTTAAGTATATCGGACCCGGTGGGTTCAAGAATTAAGACATCGCGCTGTAATGAAAACAAAATCAACACTTTTAGTTAGTTTTAAACAAGATAAGATTTCAATGTACTTGTTGTTTTAGAATTAATTTCCTTGCAACAACCTTGAAACCTGACCAACTGGAGGACGTTCTAACCGAAATTTTACTGCATTAACGACCTCTTTCAATTCGATCAAAAAAGTAACTGTATGCAAGCATTTTGAAAATAAATTGGTAGGAAATCATTTAAATTCCAGACTAAACGAGCTCTATTTTAACACTTGTTACTGCTCTTTTGACTTTTCCAATGCGACACGCTTAACAAATATTTCCAAAGTTTATTGAAAGCGTGATAAAATTTCGTGCTTATCAAGAAGGCGACGCGACTGCCAGAACAACAACAAAAAGAAAAGAAAACACAGTGAAAGCGACAACAAAAGCAGAGCAACAATTGAAAAATGTTTGTATGTTTGTGTGTGTGTGTGTGTGTGTGTGGAAAATATACATATACACATGTGTATACTTGTTTGTGTATGGCATGCTGCGTTTGCCTTTTTATAAATGTTTTATACAAAATTGTCGCACAGGACAGGACGGCGCCACAACACGTACAAATGACAAACGCGGTCGTGAGGCAGCATTTTTAAACGTGAGTGTATGTGTGTGTGTCTGTGTCTGTGTCTGTGTGTGTGTGCTGCCTTTGTGTTGCTTTAGCTTCATGCGATGCATGCCATTTTTTGTTACCCCTGTTGCTGTCGCTGTGCCTGTTGTTGATATTTTGATCACGTTGCGCATTTGTTTATTTAATTCGATTCGCAGTACTTGGGTTTTGAAACCAAACGCGAATTATTGCTCAACATTTTTTAGGGAGGCTGACATTGAAAAAAAAGGGCAAACGAGTAGAACGCTATTGTCACGCGCCCGACTCTTATATACCCTGTACCTGTATTTTAAAAATTTAATCTCACTTCGCACTTAAAATTGTATTTATTTTTTAGTTCAAAACTTACTAGAAATTGATTAGCAAACTAATACAATAATATACATATACTCGTACAACTCAAGGAACTCGCAATTTTCTTTTTCATACATTTGAAGCCTGCAATAACAATAGCTGGTGGAAGAGAGTACATTTTCTACAAAGCATGAATTTAAATTGCTATTTGAATAAAACTTGCAACATGGGTAAATCGGATTCAAAAGTATAAAAGTATTCCTAAAATTACATATGTGCATCCAAATCAAACATATACTGGATGACAGCTTTAGAGATTGTAGTTTTAAAACTTCTCGAAAAACTATACTTTTAACAAGAAGCTCATTGCGGCAGAGTGGGGGAGTCTATGGAAATAAAAACATCCTTTCCCGCATCACTCTAGCTAAAGACTTGCATTCATTCAATCCTAATCAAAAATAATATATGTATTTCCGTTGGATGTTATGAAAACTGAACGGTTTTAAAAAACACTTTTATCTTTCGGTTGAACAAGAGAGAAAAATACTCTGTACGCTAATAACATTTTCTAGACTTGACAGATTTTATGAAATTTGAAATAAAGGCAGAGAATAACATACAATTTACATCTGAAAAGTTTAGCTTATGAGCTGCAAATGCATTGTGAATAGCATTGATGAAATTCTGTAGAATTGGAAAGTGGGGAAAAATAAAAAAAAAAACAAACTATAAACTCGTTAAACTGGGAAGGTCCTGGAGTTCATCCAGATGGGCGAATCAGTCTAGATCGATTTATCTCGCTGATTAAGAAAATGTATATACTTGATGGGGTCGGAATAGGTTCCTTCTGCCTATTACAAACTCTGCTTAAACCGAATAGATTCTTTTTACCCTACGGGTACAGAATATTAAAACGCCAGGAGTGGAAAAACGTGTGCGCATTTGAAAAATTTCTTCGGAATTTGGCATATTTGATAAGCGTCTCTGCTTTTACCTGTCACAGGTATTTATTCGAGTTAATTGCCTGCAGCATGTCGGCTGAGCAAATCAATAAAATCGAAAACTTTGGTATATCAATAGCAAATTGCAGGGACACACTTCAGCGTCGCCCAGTTGACCGAGTATGCGACACATAATATCCTGCTTGTCTGTTAGATCGACCTCCTTCTGACTGCACTTTAAGGCTCTTGAAGGGCTGGGAATTCAACTTCAATTGCAATTTGTGCAGCTGGAAGGCGTACGGTTGGAATAAATAATAGTAAATGAGTCGATAGCCAGAATAATTGTAGTTAAAAGCATTTGCCGATTTGGCCAAGTCGAGGAGAAGCGAAAGGAGAAAAGGAAGACATTTTAGCTGCCAAAGACGTCAGCAAATAGGGCAAATAACTGGGCTGCTATAACTGGCAGAATCTGGAAAATGGCAACGCAATGAACTTGAAACGGAAACGGATATTGATAGTTGAAGACGAAATCATTAAAGCGCAATTGCGAGTGGGCCAAGAGGGCCAAGATGTGGCCCAAGTGAGTGCTTGAATGTGTGTGTGGGTGAGTAGAGATGGCCAAATAAGCAGCGGATATGAAAAAAATTTTACGTTTTATTGATCTGAGGATAAACCATTGCTCGCAAATGCATCTAATAATTGTACAAGACAAACAACACCATATGGAGGTGTATCGCCAACAACGCCACTTGTGGTAGCGCCTCGTTCATTCAGGTGCATATAGTATACATATAGTAGGTGTGCTTGTGTGTGTGCGTGCGTGTATGTGTGTTGGAGGAAATTGCTCTCAGGTCTGGCAAATGCAAAAGGCGAAAGGTATACAAAGGCGAGCACCGACGCCATGTCTGCGACTGGCCCAAAGTGTTACAATCAAACCTCGAAATAAAGCACCATTCATAAGAATAAGGTTTTCCTTGCATTTTTATTTCAAGGAAAATGATTAAGAACTTAACCCTCGTGGCACGCAGTTATGCGATGTAATGGGAGCAAATGTGGCAAGATGCATCAAAGCTTGCTTTCAAGACAAAATACTTCCTTTTATTTAAAACTATATAGAAAATGATGACTGAATCATTCCTAATTAAAATACTCATCTGTTGAGGTATTTGCCTTTCCGTGAGAGTTCACAAGTTTATTGTATATTTTTAATTTTTCTTCCCTTTCCCTGATTTATACAAATACGTGAATTACATGAATTGTCCGTCGCTATTTCGAATGTCGTTTGAATTTTAGCAAAGTTGTTCAGGAAGCACTTCCCTTTCTTGCCCCTGCTATAACCGCATATAACAAATTTTACGTAAGTATAAAATAAGAAGTTTTCTATGTATAGAAAGCTGGCAGGGCTTTCGGTATAAAGTCTTTGACTCTTCAGTTGAATGAATTGTAAGAGCTATGATAATACAAGTAGTTAGTATTCTGTCTCAATAGCCGCCAAGCCTCAGCACAAACTTGTATTATATATGGTCTTCAACAGAGGTTAGACTCTTCGAGCTTATGTTATTAAGCTGTTTTTTATTAAATTGAGAAATTGGGAAAAAAACTCTAAGTCCAATTGAGCGTTTATTTGAATGCTCTATATTTGTATATTAGAGAGATTTTACTGTAGTATACTATTGCTTGTGTGCGTCTTTATGTCAACAACTGTCTGCAGTCGCTCAAGTACTTGCATGTGTGCGTTGCAAATTTACATGCGACGTCTTCTTGGGCTGGTGTGTTCGCCGGCCTGCAGCATGTGTTGCGGATGTTGCCGCCTGATCCAATACTGCCACATGTTGGCCATATTAACAGTTAAGGAAGCTCTGCTATACGCTGTATTTGCTCGCTTAACACACACAGAAGGGTTTAAGGCAAGATGTTGCTTATTCCTCTGCTGTTTATAGTTTATTGATTGTTGCTTTTCTTTCTTCACTTACCTCACAAATAGATTGACTTATGTTGCGAAGATTGAGACGAAATATGCGATCCCTGCAATTGGAAAACAATGATAGAGAGATGATTAAGGTTTAATTAAGTGTTTAATATACTTGTGTGTAGGTAGATGGGTGTGGTTTTTATTTTAAATTAGCAGGCATGCTTGGCAAACGTATAACTTGGCACTGGCACTCGAGCTAATCCCGAAATCGTGCCATGACACACGATAAGTTAATGCCGCGCCAAAATCATCAGTGCGTGATATTATGCCGGCGCGCAGACAGACATACAAATACCCGTATATACCACCATGCCCCTAGCAAGCAGAGCGAGACATCAGTTTGTCATTTGGCGGAATAACGACGGCATGATGAGAAACAGCAGGATACGGGCGACTTGAAGTGCGCCGCCTACTGCCGAGCAATTGAAATTGTCAAGCTCACTTATGTGCCCAGCCGTGAGTGCGTTTGTGTGAGTATAGTATGTGCTCGTTGCGGCTTGTGAAAAATTGTTTGGTTGCATTCTTTCAGCGGAGGGTAAGTTCAAATGAACTTGGCGCACCTGCTGGGCGATGTCGGGGGGCCAGGTTTATTGCACAAGCTTGATTGATTGATGGATAGATCAATGTCGCAACATTTTTTGATTTCTTTACATTTTTGTGCATGGCATGCTGGCCAAGAAATGTGCCTTCATTTTATGTTCAGCAACTTTAAGCGATGCACGCCATTTTCATTTCCATTTTCATTTCCCCTGCTCAGCCGCTGCTGAAAACTTTTCCGTTAAAAGAGCCTAGCACTTGCACTCGCCACTCAGCACACAGCACTCGCAGCAAAAGTGTGCTTTATGTAGTTTGCGGCTCTCGAGTTTTAGGCGCTGTCCCGCCGACAAACTCAAAGCCATTAATCTTCATTTCCATGCCTTCTCTGCCGACGCTACCGACTCTGCCAAAGCTGATGCTGATGCTCCGCAAACTGGCTGCTGGCTGTTGGCTGCTATCTGCTGTCTACTGCCTGCTCGATGCTGGTTGTCGACTGACGCAGGAAAAATGGGGCTCGAGTCAAGTGGTAATTTCGGTTACCACAACCACAACTGTTAAAATGCGGCCATGTTGAACTTGCCGCAGACAAATGAGCAGACGAACGCGCGTCGCCATCAAATTCTGGAAGCAGCCCCAACCCATCCCGACACGAACCGACACGACCCGACCCACCTCGACCCACCTCGACCCGACCTCGAGAGCGGACCCAAGCCACACACAGCTCCCCACGCTGCAACCGCACGTCAAAGCATTAATTCATAATTATGTATGCTGACAGTGTTCCCAACAACTCTCGGCACTCGTCGCTGGCGAAAAGTTGTGCGCCATACTCTCAGAATGAAATATGCAGCACTAAATGCGTTGAGGTTCTCAAGTAGGTGCCCGACCGGAAGTTGTGCACAGTTAGACCGGAAACTGGTAATTATTACGATGGTCGAGAGCCCGGCCCGGGTTGTCGCCTAAATGTGTTCTGAGTTATTGCGCCCTCAACTACAACTCCGCCCTTGTAGTTTTTGGGGTCGTATGCATGTCGTATGCGGGCATAGCTGCGATACGGTATTTAAATTAAAGACGAAAAATAAAAAATATTTGTATATATATGGTACATAATTGTATAATTATAATCGTTATCTGTAGAGTGTACTTACATTGCGCCCACATAGAGCGCATTGGTGCGTTCATCCACATAGAATGTTTTGTAGTGCAACGGCCCACAGCTAAAGTCCTTGACGTGCTCTGCAAATAAACAATAAAAGGGGAAAAACTTAATTATCAGAAGTGGCAATATTATGGTTCAAACGTTTATTGATAAATCTTAAAATTTGATGTCAGGGGTAAAAAACCTCACAATAATGTGTGAACTGAAATGGATTTTGTTTCTTTTTTTAATTTTGTTGACCCTGACGAATTGTTATGAGAAAATGAAAGTGGACCGAATTATGGCAAAACTTAAGAGCCTGAACTAAGACCGAAAAATGTATTTCAAACCAATTGCTAGCATTGTGTTGTTATTCCTCATAGATGGCAAGTGACTGCTTCTTAGATTTACTGCCACATTCGCAATCGGCCCTCAAATTAGTCAAAAAGTCAAGCAGTTAATTAAAGTTAAATCTTCTATTAACGGAACTGCTAAGGCCAGCTGTCAACGAACATAGGCCACACATCACCACATCAGCACATCACCACATCGCCACATCAGCACACGCACAAAAAACTAATTAAACTATTATAATTTAGCAAACACACAGCAGCTTAATTTATGAGGCACCTGCAGACAAAGCCCAACAAGCAGCAACAACACACTGACATCAAGTGTCAAATGTAAACAAAGCAGGGCAACAACAAAGCCATGTCCTTGCACATTTCACACCGACACTGACAAAAATGTCACAAAGTCACGTACGGAGCGACATCACGTGCTTCTCTGCTGCCGAAGTCGTCTGCGCCGCCAGTTACTGGAAGTATCGCGTTGCCCCAAAATGGAGGCGATGTATTCGATGGCATTAATGAAAAGATTGAGGCACTTAGCCGAAATTTTTACGACATTAAGTTGTCAACTAATTTGCAGCAATTAACGCCGGCTCCTCCAACGTACTCGTAGGCAGCAACTTTTTCTTTTCTTTGTTTCCCCATTTGTTTTGTAGTTGTGCTTGTAAGCAAATCCTTTGATGACGCCAGTAAAAGTCATTTGTGTCAATGTCAACGGCGGGCAATGGACAGCGTTCTCAAATTTTTTTGAAAGTGGACAGGCATAAAAGGCGAAGCCAGCAGTAATAAGAACAACAGCAAAACAGGATCATTAAAATGGCAGAGCTTTAGACTTGAACTTGCCCTACGACTTTCGACATGTACTTGGACTGGGACTCCGACTCCGACTTGGATAGTGATTTGCATAATAATAATGAATAATAAGGCATTGGCAAAATGTCAAATGCTTGCCGACGTCCATTCCCAAACTTTTCATTTTCATCCCGTTCCAACTCCCACTCCCATGGCCGTTTCCACTTGGGCTAACTGCGTCTTTGTTGGGCTTATTGCTGAAATTGCGCAAAGCAAAAGAATAATATAATGCCTGTGCTGACCCTTATGCAAATTTGCCTTAGTTGTCAAGGCAATTCCGCAGCCCATAACCACGGCGGAAGCACTCCCTATTTATGAGCATCGACGGGTAGAGTTAAGGGCAGAACGACTCGAAAGTCCAAATACGTATCTCAAATTCAAGCTAAGTAGCCACATTAATTTCTACACAATCAGTACAGATTTTGTTTTTTTTAGTTTAGTTACGTATACATATATATATATAAATTCTTCAGTGTACACTCACGTTGCAACATTTGACCTTGAGAAATGGCCTATCGAGCTCTGCTAAGCATAGCTCAGTTGAGGTTCAGGTGAGCAGCACCCTGCCATATGTAAATTAATTGCCATTTATATGGAGCCTGCCTTGCCCTGTTATAGCAACAAGAACTCAGAAATGTGTACAAAACACCGACGGTATTCAAATGTCGTACCCATAGGTGCACAATTGGCACTTCAAAAGTCCTACAACAAGGTAAGAAATATACAATACCTGGCCGTAGCCGGGATTGGATTGGATTGTTACCATACATTTTTTATATCTATGCTTTTAATCCTCGACTTAGCGATCAATGGTAAATTTGTAACATTGGTCCAAGTTTCAAGTCTGGGACACTAGACTTCCCAGTTTATTCACCAGTTTATACCACTCAAACAAAGAAAGAAAGCACATTTAAGAAATCATTTCAAAAACTTGCAGGGATTTATTAATACAAATATTGATTTCCATCAGGGTCTTGCTTTTACAATTGAAGAGCGTCAGCGTCTCGGAATAAACGGTCTATTTCCGTGCTCTATACGCACACAATCGGAGCAGCTGTTTTCGGTCTCATCCAACTTTTTGTCGCGTCCCACGGCTATAGCGAAATACCGGTACATGCTATCCTTGCGGCAGCGACACGAGAGCCTTTACTATCTTTTCATCGGCGAGCACATTGAGGATGTATTACCCGTCATCTACACACCCACGGTGGGCGTAGCGTGCACCGTGCTGGGCCTGATATTCCGCGCACCTATGGGAATGTTTGTAACCAAGTACGACCGCGGCCACATTTCTGACGTTCTGGGCAACTGGCCCGAGTCCGATGTGCGTGCTGTGTGCATCACTGATGGTGAGCGGATCCTCGGCTTGGGTGATCTGGGTGCCAATGGCATGGCCATTTCGCTCGGGAAAATAGACTTGTATACGGCGCTGGCCCGTATTCATCCCAGCTACCTGATACCTATCTCGCTGGATGTTGGGACAGATAATGAGCAGCTACTCGCCGATCCCTTGTACATTGGAGCCCGCGACAAGCGTTTACGTGGCAAGGAATATGATGACCTCGTTGACGAGCTTATGGAGGCGATTGTGAAGCGCTGGGGTCGAAATACGCTCATACACTTTGAGGATTTTGGCACACCCAATGCCTTAAAGTTCATCGAAAAGTATCAGAAGAGTCACTGCTGCTTCAACGATGATATTCAGGGCACCGCGGCAACAGCTTTAGGTGGCTTTTTGGGAGTCTCTCGAGCCACTCAAAAGCCGCTGAATGAACATGTATTTCTGTTTGTGGGAGCAGGCAGTGCCAGCCTGGGCATAGCCAATTTGCTAATGAAGCATCTTAAGGAACATGCAGATGCACCGGAAGCTGGCCACAAAATCTTTATGTGCGATGCCGAAGGTTTGATCACCAAGAGTAGAAAGGACTTAAGTCCAACGATTAAGAGATTTGCCCAGGACGTTCCGGAAACAGCCCAGCTGGAAGAGGTGATGAAAATTGTCAATCCATCCATACTTCTAGGCGCTACAGGCTCGAGTGGCATATTCAATGAAAACATTTTGCGCTTCATGGCAAAAAATCATGAGCGTCCGGCCATTTTTGCGCTCTCAAATCCAACGGATAAGGCTGAGTGCACGGCAGAGCAGGCGTTCAACTTTACAGAGGTAGGATTCGACATGTCTGACCTAGCCTGAATTCCTACTCATCTAATAGCCTCTACAGGGTCGAGCCATCTTCTGTTCCGGCTCGCCATTTCCACCCGTGGTCATTAACGGCAAGCGGCACATACCTGGCCAAGCGAATAATTGCTTTGCATTTCCTGGAGTGGCACTAGGGGTTCTGTGTGCCTCCGCTCGTTATATCCCTGACGAGGTGTTCATAGTTGCCGCTCAAGTGTTATCTGAGTTTCAATCCGACGAGAACGTGGCTCAAGGCATTATCTATCCACGCATCAAGGAAGCACCGGAGGTGGCGTTCCAGATTGGCGTAAAAGTGGCCGAATATATTTTCAATGAAGGTGAGCATTCCATTACATACGTAATTAGCTCAACTTCAAATGGTGATAGTCAATAAAAAAAATAACTTCGAAATGTATTGCCCCATAGATCTGGCCAATGCCAGTCCAGCTCCGGAAAACATATGCGAGTTTGTACTTGGTCAGCGTTATAAGACCGACTATGAGTCCGCACTTCGACCAACTTGGGAGTACCCCAAACTTCCCCATATCCCACTACCCAAGGATCCAGATGTATTATTGAACTCATAAAGGAATGAGTTGGCTTTGCATCATTCTTCACACGCATTTCAAGACATCACATATACATAAATTAATTTTGCCCATACTCCAACATATAATAAAGTATATCAAGTAGCGGTAAAAATTGATCATGAACATATCCAGATTGAATTTAATTAAATGTTTAGGCTTCCGGTAAGTAGACTACACAAGGCAGATAGCCTTTTTCACATTCCAAATCTCAGCCGCAGCATGTACTTAAGCCCACTAGGCCCAGCTTATCCCTGGCAGTATTGCAAACGACTTACCCACAATAACCCACACACTGACTGCATACGACCGTCGCTGCACACAGTCTTGGATACGCGCTTTAACAAAGTGAGTACGACAGTCATATCCTCGAGCTTCCCATCACCTCCCTTTGGCAGGGTCTTGCTTTCACTATGAAGGAGCGCCAGCTGCTTGGCGTCAACGGGCTGTGGCCCTGCTCCACGCGCTCCCCAGATGAGCAGCTATTCGGCATCAGGGCCAACTTTGAGGCACGTAAAGATCCCATTGTCAAGTACTCCTATCTGCAGGCGCTACGAGGCCGACACGAGCGCCTTTACTTCCGCTTTCTCAGCGAATACACTGAATTGGTGTTGCCTATTATTTATACACCTACTGTCGGCACCGTTTGCTCCACCTTCGGCTTGATCTTTAGATCTCCCGTTGGTCTCTACATCACCATTTACGACCGCGGGCACATCGTTGAAGTGTTGCAGAATTGGCGCGAAACGAATATTCGAGCTATTTGCGTCACTGACGGCGGTCGTATTTTGGGCCTTGGGGATCTCGGTGCCAGTGGCATGGGCATATCGACGGGAAAGTTGGCATTATACACGGCACTGGGTGGCATCCCACCCAATCTCTTACTGGCCGTCGCCCTGGACGTAGGTACAGACAATGAGCAACTGCTCGCTGATCCGCTCTACGTGGGCGCCCGCATCAAACGCGTCAAGGGGCCGGAGTACGATGATCTCGTGCAGGAGTTCATGGATGCAGTGGTGGAGGTCTTTGGTCCCGACACATTCATACACTTTGAGGACTTTGCCACCCCCAATGCGTTCAAGTTCATTAGAAAGTATCAACACTGCTTTTCATGTTTCAACGATGATATTCAAGGAACCGGTTCCTCAGTCTTGGCCGGGTTTCTGGGTGTAGAGAAAGTAACTAATCATAAGCTGAATGAGCATGTTTTTCTATTTGCTGGAGCAGGCAGCGCGTCCATGGGAATTGCCAATCTGCTAGTGAAAGAACTTATGGACCGCGGCATCAAGGAAGAGGATGCTTGTAAGAACATTTATGTTCATGAGGCTGGTGGACTTGTGACACAAAATATACCTAATTTGGTTGAAGACTTAAAGCGCTTTGCCAAAAAAATGGATCCTATTGCAAAGTTGGAAGATACCGTAGAAAAAATAAAGCCTTCAATATTAGTAGGCGCCACTGGTGTGGGAAACCTATTCAACGAACAAGTTCTACGCTCTCTAGCAAAGAATCATAAGCAACCGGCAGTTTTTGCGCTCTCAAATCCTACCAGCAAGTCAGAATGCACGGCCGAACAAGCATATAAATTTACGGAGGTAAGTGGAGAATGTCTATAATACTTTACTCGCATATCGTCTAACACCAAGAATAGCTATCGAAAAGGTGAACAATTGAAGCAGCGGTTTTGATTTACACAGAAAATAAATAACAAGAGAATTGCTTCTATTAACCTATCCTTTCCCCACAGGGTCGGGTCATATTCAGCGCTGGTTCGCCATTTCCGCCTGTGCTCATCAACGAGAAGCGTCTCACACCAGGCCAGGCCAACAACTGTCTCGTGTATCCAGGCATAGCGTTGGGAGTCTTGAGCGCCCACGCTCGTTACGTGCCCGATGAAGTCTACACCATAGCCGCGTACACCCTGGCTAATTACACAACGGAAGAGAACAGAAAAGCTGGTAGCCTTTATCCCGCTATTAAGGACGCCAATGATGTGGCTTTTGCCATAGGTCTTAATGTGGCTAAGTACATTTTTAAGAAGAGTAAGCCAAAAATGAATAGTCTTTGCAAACATATTTCATTGAAAAGCTTCTGCTTTTTCTAGATCTGTCCAATTTGCACCCGATTCCGGAGGATGTCTGCGAGTATCTCAGTGGCTTCTTATATAGACCCCACTACGAGCACACGCTTCCCAATACATGGGAGTACCCCAAGTTTCAGAGCGTTCCGCTTGATTCAGAAACAGTGGTCAAAACATATTTGGGTGACATCAAGGACAAAAAAGGTGAAGAACAGAAAGCGCAGAAGTGAATAGCAATCGAAAGTATAATTACGTTTCAGTTTGAAAACAAAATATATGCATATCCACTATACACATTGAATTTATGCGGCTTCAGTCCAACCCCTTGTCCCCATCCTTCTTCAAAATATCCCATCAGCATCCAAATGTTCAGCACTTAACTTCATTATTGTCTACTGACGACGCTTTAGCATCGTTAAATAAGGAGGCGTCTGCCCACTAATGTGTGCTTTGGTATACGAGTACATGTGTGTGTGTGTATTCTGGTGTGAGCGCTTGTTTGCGTTCCTGTTTTGCATATAAAAGCAGCTGAAATGTGTGCTCACCAAAAATGTCAATCATTTTTTTAAACGTAGACCGTAAATATATTTGTTTTGCAAGTTTGCCTTCGCATGTCTGAGTGTGACTGCATGTGTGTGCGTATGTGTGCGTGTGTGTGCGTGTGTGCGCATGCCAGGACACGCATACATTAAAAAGCAATTGGTGTTGAAGGAGCAGTCAGGCAGTCGCACAATGTGCGCCTGTCTATCAGTCTGACATGCGTTGTGCCGCGCTGCCAGACCTTCGACGAGCGCCACACCAGGCCTGGGGCAAAAGCGAAAGCAACAATAACAACAACTTCATAGCCAAGCACACACCAACCAACTCACACTTTATAATGATGGGACAGTAAAGGGAAAAGGAGCAAAAATGTAAAATCATTTTCTTTAACTGACAGCTGTCAAAATATTTGCTCTCTGTCAACTCGCTTCGTCCTCGATGCTGTCCTTAACGTTGTCGTCGCAATCGCTAGCTGTAAGCATGCTGCTTCTTCGATTTTTGCTACACTACTACATTCATAAATACATACTTATTCACATTTATACGATATTAACAGTATGCATATACAGTGTCCTTGCGATTTCCATGGCAATATTCATTACTTCACACTTTCATACAAAAAGCTGCTGCTGACCCAAAAGCTGCATCAGCTGCCATTTCGTTTAACTTTCGCTTTTTTAATTTGCACATTTTTCTACTACTGGATCCCTCTTGGGATCGTGGGCTTAACATGCTTACACACACGGCTTCTCCGAGGTCATCAAGTAAATATGAAATTAAATACTTGTATTTAATCACGATTGAGCTACCTTCAATTTGAATGGAAAAGTTATGAAAATTTAATGGAACTGCTTTATTTAATACATACTCTACTATGGATCTGTTATTGCAAAATATTTATTATTTATTTTGCAACACCATCATGGCAACAGCGTTCCCAGTATAAAAGCATATATACTTGTAATATCTATGTATATAGGATCTCGGTCTGAGCACATTATATAGATCATAGGGTCTCTTAATATGTGGGAGAGTTGAAACAGTCAAACAATTAAACGTTATTCGTCCTGAGTGTTACAAAGTTACACACCAAGATGAACAAACCCGTGCAAGTATAGTGTGTAGTGAAGTAAAATAATTTTAATAACGGAATGATCATCAAGCTCTGGTCAGCACAGAGGAAACAATGGACCCTGTTTCTAAATCAATAAGTTAGAGAACTAACTTCCTCGTAATATGCTCGTACAAGTGTATGAAATCAACAAATTGTGATAAAATTGTTTTCTTAATAATATTAATAATATATAATCTATAAATACTAAAAAAGTTAGGTTTAAGTTATTAAGCTTTATGGGTTTTTTTATTTAATTTTTCCCACTTTAAACTGTCGATTGTCGGGAACCATTTTTATTTCTCCATTTTGCTTAATTAAGTGAAAAGGCTAAGCTGCCTGCACTCTTAACATTAAGATATCCTTACCTCACTTGTTAATTTATAATGTTTTTAAGAAATGTGAATAAATTGAAATTGAAAATTTTGCTAGCTTAAATCTATAATTTGCAACTTGAAAGAAATATAATTTGTGACGATCCCTTCAATATTAAAACCATTGAGTTCCATTTAAAGAGAAGCCCCATCAGTATCGGCATCATCTCGACACGCCGCATCAACCACAGCCTGCAGCCAGCTGGCTTATAGAATTTAATTGCCCATAAAAAGTGTGTGCTGCCAAATCGTAAATTTAAAAATGGCCGACGACCCACATCGGTGTAGTCACAACGAGAAGCGCCCCAAAATATTTAAATGCCGCCACAGGCGGGGCTAAACGGGCTTCCCTTATTTTTCAATGCTACATTTATTTTGATTTTATGATGCGTCAGCGCATAAATTTCATGACAGCATTCGGCGCGGAAGTAGGTCGAGCGCATCAACAAGTAGTGTGTGGCTGACTGCATGCTTGGACTATTGAAAGCCGAGTCGACTGGGCTCAGTTACATGGCAATGCAATTGAAATGAATCCGAAACCATTTGCACTGCAACAAAAGCAGCCACATTCACTGAAGACAGGGTATTACATGCAACAATACGAGCAGCTCGGCTCAAGAATTGTGCAACAAAGTAATGATTGACCCAAATGCATGTGAAATACTTCTATACAGCACACAAGGATTGCAGCTGGCAGCATGAATTGCAATCTACTTATGAGAACCGACTTGAAATAGGATCATCCATGTCCCTGACATTTTCAAGTATGCAAATGAATATGAGCCAACAAACGACACAGCCAGCGTGCAGCAGCTAATTATGGGACTGGCTTGCGACGTTGATTGATTTTACATGGCAATGAGTGAAGGGGCTAGGCCGTAAGTGCCAGTGCAGCTGCAGCAATTTGGAAACCTTTTAATCATTTCATACTACATTTGCATCCCGGCCAAATAGGCCGAGCCAAATGACCAAAAGAAAAAGTATATTGCTGCTATGGAGGTCAGGAAGTGGAGAGCAGAGAGCAGAGAGCAAAGCGTACTTGACTGTGTACAGTTGATAAGTGGCCTCAATAAACACAAAAGTCTACTCAGCTGCTTCTGAGGCTTGCAGGACGGTTGCTGCTAGCTGCTACTTCATCTCTTAGGAGATTTTCATTTATCTGCCAGCAAAGTTGTGCTCGTATAGATAACACGCAGACACACAGGGCCAGAGAGAAAGAGAGGGACAGAACGCATAGAAGAAATATAAGTGCAAAAGCAAAGAAGGCAAAAAAAGCAAAAGCAGGAGCACAGAGGGAAAAATGAAGCACTTAAATCCATTTAAGCGAATTTTTCAAGCATTAAATTTGCGTTTACGTTACGTATACTTAACTTCCAGCGGCAACGGCCGCAAACTCTCGCAAGCTCAGCCAGGCAGATGGAAATACACACACACATGCACACAAACACACACACACACAGCAGAGCTGAGGCAAAACAGCTGCATACTTTCAGGCTGCTAGCAGGTAAAAATTGCCAACGCGCTAGGAAAAAAATGCTTGCTTATTTTTATTTTTTTGTTCTTCGGCATTCCTTTCATCATTGTTGTCGCTTCTCTTCGCAACTGAAAGATCTTTGGCACGAAAACGAATTTGCATCATTTGTTTTAGCTGTTGGCCTTCAAGGCCATCTCACTCCTACTGGCCCGTGCATGCCTGAGCAATGCAACCATGACAATAACACTGATGCCTAAGTCAGTTTTTTTCGCTTATCCAGCAGCGAAATAGAAAGGAAGCACCTATACGTTGACAGATACATATGTATCTACACAGAAAAATTCCATTACTAAAGGCACACCTCGCCATATCAAACTCTTCAATGCCAAACATGGCCTCATTTGCGCATAAATCGCTTAAATTTCTATAAATGTTATAGCAAATTAAAATGGACATTGCAAAATAATAGTGGGACCGCCTTTGTCTTTCCTATAAGAAACAAGAAAAATATAATGCGCTGCTAATCCTATTAGAGTTGTCTTTTAACTTGTCCAGAGTAGATTAAAATAAATTGTTTTGATACCTCTCTGTATGTGACAATAAATTGAAATACAGCTTGAAAAAGAAAATTCATCCAACAATCACAATATATTTTTGAATGTGATTTTAATAGATTTTTCTTCGCAAGGACTGACTTATATTTGTTGTTTTTTCTAACTCTTTTGCTCATTTTAAATAATACATTAAAATATAAATTTATTCGCAAAATTGGCATTCACTTGGATCTTTTGATTATAAAATCGTATTTTAAAAGATATTCAGTTTGGTATTCAAAATAATTGGCAAACCTTGATATTTGATTGATATTTCTGATCTAAATACTAGTAGAATATAAGCACATTAATCCTTTAAAGTTACATCAGCAAAAAATATTTGAAAGAGAGTTAATTGATCATTGTGTTTTCATATAGGAGTATGCAAAAATAATCAATGACACACAAAGTACTCTAACTACAGTGGGCGCCTACATACGATCCAATATTTTGCTACCTGGCCGAACCAAAGATATTTATTAAAAAACTAATGATGCAGTTTCGTAGCTTATCTAGTCTTATGGAAGAAAACGAAAAAAATGTTAACTTAAGATATATCCTTACAAAGATATAAACGAAAAACCATATTTCTTCCTTGACAAAAGTGTACGTACGATTTCATTTGACCCTTTATTCTTCGAGCTGTACATAGCCAATAATAGTTCTAGAAATTATTCGCATGTCCTTTAAAAGCTTTCTGAGAACTTGCAAGAAGATGTCGTGAATTGAAATGGCTTGCCATAAAGAAATCTTCATCGATTTGCGAAAATTACTCTTATAGTACAGAAATAAGAACAAAAAGGACTAATCTTTTAAATATTGGCAAGTTTACTGTACAGACAATATTAAAAAACTACTGTATGTTGTAAAAACTGAAAATAATAGAATCGCACCAATATTCATATTCGTTTTGAAATTCAAAAGTACCCGTACTTAACAAGAACCCTTAGCTATATTATGGCTATTAGTTCTATTAAGCATTTGAAAAACATTTTGCAGATAATAGTCGAGCTAAGTTTGTCAAACTTTAAAAGCCGTACGAACACACACACGCACACACACACAATTGGCCTGCAAGGCCACAAACACGCGCAGCCATGCATGTGAGCCATTGTGCCCCAACCGTTTTGTTTTGCTGTCACATTCATTGTTGCTTTGCTGTGGGCATGTAAATGTGGCAAGCCCCCACTTGCCACTCCAGCACTGACA